TTAACCTCTCTCAGGGCATCCCATCCCCATGATTCTGATTTCTGTCACCACAGATACACTTTGCCAGTTTTGAACTTCATGTAAATGGAGTCCAGTGTGCATTGTTTGAAATTTATTGCTGTTTCTTAGCACTAGCTTATTTTTATTGTTGCATGATATTCCATTGTTTGGCTATACCACAATTCACAAACCCATTTCTATTTCTGATGGACATTTGAAGTATTTATAGCATTGGGCTACTATAGGTAACACCATTATACTACATTTGGTGGACATAGATGTTAATTTATATGGATTAAACACCTGGGGTGGAAATGTTGAGTCATAATGAAATTAAGCCTAACTTGGGTAGATGCTATAGACCAGTAGTTTTCTAGAGTGTTGGGATGACTTATAGTCCCTCCAGAAACATAAGATACTTTCAGTTTTTTCCACATTATTTTCAATACTAATATTGTCAGTCCTTTCAATTCTAGCCATTTTCTAGTAAGGATATAGTAGTTTCTCAATATGGTTTTCATTTGCAATTCTTTGGTAAGTAAGACATGCCATACTTCCATGTAGCTTTTCTTCTATGGAGTGCCTATTCAAATTGGCCTAATTTTATGCTGAGTTATAGTTCTTTATGCAAACTAGATAAAAGTTTGTGGATGGATATTTGTAGTGCAAGTATTTGGCTGGTCTTTTCTTTATGGTGTTTGTTTTTGGAAGAGCAGAAGTTTTTAATTTTGCTTTTGTCTAATTGACTTTTTTTCTCTTTTACAGGAAATACTTTGTGTGGCTTCTCTAATATTTGCCTTCCCCAAGATACAAGAGGTATTCCTCTTTGTGTTCCTCTAAAAGATTTAAAGTTTTAGTTTCTGCGTTACCCCATGGTCCATCTTGTGTTATTTCGTGTAAAGTGTAAGTAAACAACATTTCCTTTTCTTCCCAGATATTTGATACTTGTTCCATTTTCATTTGTGCAAAAACAGCTGTTTTGGTGGCATTGAAGAAAATCATATGACCATACACATGGCTCTATTTTTCCAATTGCTCTCTGTTCTACTGATCTATTTGCCTATCCTTATGTCAATGACACACTGCCTTGATTACTGCAGCTGTCTATAAATCAGGTAATAAGGAAGTGCTCTAACTGCTTAGTCCTGTTCAAAATTGTTTTGGCTGTTTTAGATTCTTAAATTTCCATCTAGATCTTAGGGTCAACTTTTTAGCCTCTACGAAGAAGCCTGATACAATTTTTGGTAAGGATTATGCTAAATACATGAATCAGTTTTGACATCTTATTAATACTGAGTTTTTCACCCATTAACATAGACTACCTGTCCATTTCTATAGATCATTAAAAGTGTCTCTCAGCAACATTTTGTGATTTTCCATGTAGAGGTTTTGCATGTGTTTAATTAAATTTATTATCTCATGCTATCATGAAAATTGTTTTTAAATTTTCATTTTTAAATTGCTGCTCAAATACAAAAATTCAACTAATCCTACAACTCTGATGAAATCATTCGTTTTGGCTTTTTGAAAATTCCTTAAAGTGTTGCATGTTTCTGCAAATAGAGATAGTTTTCATTTGTTTTTATCTAACCTATGCATTATTTCCTTTTTTTTTTTTTTTTTGTTGCAGTACTTGGATTTGAACTGAGGGCCTACTCCTTGAGCCACTCCACCAGCCATATTTTTGTGATGGGTGTTTTTCGAGATAAGGTCTCGACCTTATTTGCCCAGGCTGGCTTCAAACCATGATCCTCGTGCTCTTTGCCTCCTGAGTATCTAGGATTACAGTATGAGCCTCCAGAGCCCAGTCAAATTATTTCCTTTTACCACCATATTGCACTGGCTGGACTTTCAGATGCAAAATAAAGAGAAATGGTTAGAACAGACAGAGTGTAGTGGTACACACTTGTAATCCTAGTACTCCAGAGGCTGAGGTAGAAGGATTGTAAATTTGATACCAACCTGCGTTACATAGTAAGCCCCTGTCTCAAAAAAAAGTGTCTAAAATAGATATTCTGATCTAAGTATAAAAATGTCCAGTATTTTGCTATGAAGAATCACATTAGTTATAGACACTCCACCTTGTTGAGAGAGGTTTTGTATTTTTAGTTAGTCAAGAGTTTTTATAATTAATATTTGTTGAATTTAGTCAAACGTATTTTGTGTCTCTATTGATTTCCCTTTTTTCTTGATGAATCACTTTAATTGATTATATTAATAGTGTAATCAAGTCATGATATGTCTTCTTTTATTATATCACTGGATTTGACTTGCTAAAATTTTAAGGACTTTTCCATCTAGATTCATAACAAACATGAGTGTATAATTTTCTTTACTTGAAAAATCTTTGTCAGGTTTTGTCAGGGGTATGCTACCAATTTTCCCTCTTCCTTTTTGTCATAAAAAAATTGTATAAGTCTGGCATTATTTCTCCCTGAAATGTGTGAGAGAATTTGCCATCTATCAATTGAGTTGTGTAATGGGGATTTAAATCAGAATTAAGAATTAAAGCCATCTATGCCTACAGATTTCTTCTGGAAAGACTTCTACTACAAATTCAACTTTTAAAAATAGATATATGAATATTCAGATGATAATTTTTCGTATGTCTAGCTTGATAATTTGTAATCTTTCAAAGAATTTGACAATTTTATCTACGTTGTCAATTTTGCTGGCATAAATTATGCATAATATTTCTTATCCTTTTGACATATGTAAGGTCTATAAAAATACCTCCTCTTCTATTTATAATTTTTCCTTTCTAATCTTGCAGGTAATTTCAATATTTTTTCATACAACCAACTATTGCCTTTATTCATTTTTGCTATTGTTTGTCTTTGGTCTTTTTTTGTTGATTTTTGCTTTTCTATTTATTACCTCTTTCTATCAACATATTTTAGTCCAATTTTTTAACTTCACACAGCCTTTTAAACTAGACATGTACATAATTGATTTTAAACCTTTATTCTTTTCAATAAAGGAAGCATCTAAAGCTATAAAATGTCCTCTAAATATTGCTTTATTATATCAACAAATTTTCCCATGTGATATTTTCATTATTATTTGATTTAAAATATTAAAAAATTTTTTTAACCTGACAAAAATTATTTCATATCATTGGTCTGCTTTAGTTTTTTTAATCCCTGAGAAGGCTATTCTTAAAGACCTCTTTAGACTTCTCATTTTCTCATTATTGATTGGTCAAGTGCAAAGCATTACAATTTTCGATTGAGCACAGGAGGGAGTTGGCCTATTGAATCTGATAGGTTTTAACATTTAATCCACTTTTTTTTTTGGTGGTGCTGGGCCATGTGCATTCCAGGCAAGTACTCTGCCATTGAGCTACAGCTCCAGCCCCAACTTTTAGTCTATTTTTAGGTGCATTAAAATAAAAATATTTTATTATTTCAAAATTCTTTTTACAATGAAGACATTAGAATTTGGTATTGCTACTCAGTAACTTTATCCAAGAATATGCAATTATTTTTAGAGTGACACCATATATTATACCCATTAACAATGAAAGACAGGAACCAGGGTCATACAAACAGGGAAATATATTTGATGTTTATATCTTCAAAATAACTATAAAATTTAGAATAACCATGCTAAATAAAGAGTTATACTGAGAAATAAAATAACCTGAAAATACAGAAATAAAAGGGTGTCTCTAAACAGGATATGGTATAAGAAAAATATATCAAATCCCAGCGTGATGCTGCTTGCTTGCAATGCCAGCACCTGCTTGGGAGGCTGAGGCCAGTCTAGGCCGTATAGCTAGTCTCCAAAAAGAAAATAACAAACCCAGAATATATCATGTCTTCATCTCTGGTTCCTTGCACAGAGATTTAAATGAGTGACAGGAGACTCTTTGTTATGAAGAAAACAAAGAGCCAGTCACCAGAAAAACCAACTGCATGATTAGAGATTTGAAACTTGGGGCCACCCTAACCCCTGCAAGAGATCAAGTTTAATGATCTGAGCAATGGTTTAATCAGTCACATCCATGTCATGAAAACCTGATAATATAAAATCTCTGGACACTGAAGTTCATTAAGCTCAGTTCAGCTTTCTGGCTAGTGAAAAAACTAACCAGTCAGGAGGATGACAGACCTTAACTTCACTGGACACTGGACATTGCACAGACACTCCTACTCAGGACCCTCCCAGACCTGAGACTTTATTTGGCCATTTTTGGGTTGTATCCCTTATAATAAAAGTGTCATTGTAAGTACAGTACTTTTCCCTTATTCTGTGGGTGGTTCTAGCAAACGATCAGTCTAGTATGGTTCATAATAACCCTTGCATTTGTAATGTGTGGTCCTGGTAGGACACTTGTGGCTGCTGTCTGAAGGGAAGCCAATCTTGTGGAAGACTGAGCCTTTAACTTGTGGGACTTGATGCCAATTCTGAGTGCTTAGCATCACAGCTGTGTTGTAGTACCCCAGCAGGGGATAGAGGGTGGTGAACACAACAGGTACCCTACAGAGAAAAAACTGTAAATACTTATAGGAGAGAACACCGCCATTCTCCATCACCAGGCTCGCTTTCACATGTAAAAGTAATTCATTGTGGTTATTGTTTTAGTTAGGCACATGTACACTTAGTTACATATTTCTCAGCCTCTTGTGTAGCTATAAACAGATGACTACATTCTGGTCAACAAGATGTACACAGAAGTGGAATATATCTTCCCCTTGCCCTTTTTTTATTGTGAAAGCTATTGACCTCTTAACTAGCGGATAACAATTCTCATCTATTAGCCTATTTCTTTCTTTCCTGACAGCCTTGTCTGAGATCCAAGACTTGACTCTCTTCTAAAGCTGTATTATATTATATAAGGTTATTTAATTCATTTATCTAAAAAACTATTAAATTCTTCCAAGACTCTTAAGAATGTGTTGTGGCTAACTGAAGCTGTGGATTCTGTAAAGAAAAGGGGTATGTCAATATACACAGTTACTATTTCCAAAAATATTTGTACAGTGTGAGAAAGGCACCTGTAGGAAAAACTCCTCCATTAGGGCCATGGTCCACCTGTAGTGCAGCTTCCAGGTTTTGGCTGGGTGGCTGATGTCTGCTGCATGGAGAATCAAGGACATGGTTTTGGCTCTATCAATCCTGTCAAAGCAAGGACACACTCAAATTATCAGGACAAAATAACCAATTAGTCCTTCCTGAGTCCAAGCCCATAGAACTTTCACATGAAAAAAGAAAGTAACCTACCCTTCAGGCTGCTGCAAACTGCTTCTTATATTTTTAATTTGCTGGAAGTGACCTGACATGTCTGTAGATAATACCATTTCAATCACTAAGTTCCGAAGATCCCTGTGGAGGCATTTAAAAAAACAAAGTTTTATTTGGCCTTTACTGATCTCAAGTGGGACATTTCTGTAAATACCAGTCACACCAAATAGTTACTAATGGATATGAACACAAAAGATGCTACTTTTTAAAAGTGCTCACAAAAATTTGACATTATTTTGTTTGTTGACACTCATGGTTTTAAGAAGTTACCAGCAAAGTAATGTGTGTGTGATGCTGTCTCACATTCCCCTAAAGAACAAGATTTTCTCCTTTCTCACCCCAAAACTCTTCTTCCCAACTTACAATTCCTAAGTTTTGTTTTTCTGTCTGAAAGCATCTTGGCAATTCTGAAGAGATCCTGTTCTAAATATAATTTTTTAATGCTTTGGAAGTAAAACATGTAATCAGTGCAGCATGAGACCATTCTAAATTCATATGGTCAACAAAACAAATAGGCTTACTATCTCAAGGAAGGAACCAAAAAAGGGGCATGGATTCACAAGACCCTCCCTGCTCCTTTCTCTTTTTGGTTCATTGTAATAAAATTACTATTAATAAAACTAGTACTATCTATCTCATCCAGGCATTGACCTAGAATTATGTTGTATTGCTTTGTATCATATTACGACACATTTACTCATCATAGCAACCCTACAATGGGTTATTAATATTTCCTGTCAGAGGAGTTTGAGTTTCTTGCTCAGTATCCCAACACAGACAGTACAGGGCAGAGATAAGGTTTAATATGAGTTCCCACTCCCAAAACTGGCACATGAACCACTCCTGTATGCCAACCTCCCATCCCAAGAACTCCAGAAAGGCCAAGAGACTAAAGTGAGTGAGGATTCTGCTCAAGCTTTTGGGAACTGACCTTACGTAACAGACAGAGTTAGTGGTACTACTGAAATTTTCAATCAAGATGTTATAAATACAATTATAGTATCGAAAAGCCTATGTTCTCATTGTCACAGTAACTAGAAAATGTCACCCCCAGCAAAGCCTTGCATGTTCCACAATTCATTGTTTGCTCTGTACAGATAGGAAAAAGTCACACATATAGGAAATCATATTTTGTTTTCTGTCTGGGATGTGGCCAGAGATTATAAATCAAAGTGAAGAGTAAACTTCAACAATGATCTGTATCACAGATATTTAACCAAAAAATGGTATGGTAGAATGATATATTTTTAAAAACAAACACATATTGGAGTTTGTTATAGAAAATTGTAGGTGCTCAATTTAATCTGATATTTAGATGTGAGTAATAAGAAATCAAAATTCTGCTACTGTTTATAATATTGGACAGCTTGCTTAAATATTTTACTCAAATGTTAAGGGAAAGGAAGCCATCAAAGGTAGTTAGTAAAATCATTCTTAATTATGTTTTTTCTCTAAAATTATGGCACAATCTATTAGAATAGCAACTGAACAAAATATTTGTGAAGTAAGCAAATCGCAGCTAAGCTTTTATGATATCTGTAGAACCTAGTAACTATTCTGTACTTTGAATATAAATGATCAATAAATTCCAGTCATTTCATCAATAAACTAGACAAAACAGTACACCAGAGAAATATTGCTTCATTTATGATTTTTTTGGACAAAAACATTAAATCAATGCATTTATTCTTACTAAAGTTGCTTTAAGAACTAAACAGATATACAGACAAAAAAGCTACAGGTCTTTAAGAAAATATCCATATTTCAAGGTTAAAAAAAGGAAGAAAAATTATGCAGAGTAGTCAGTTGCATCTTGTTCTTTTTCCCTACATAGCAGCTAGTATCATCATACATGTAATTTTTAAAGCAAGCAGATGGCTAGAAGGAACATGCAAGATTTCCCTCTGCACTTGGGTCATTTTAGTACAGTTGTAATTTTTTCCCCAAAATAGTTAAATTTTTTTATTTTAAGAAATCTAAGCTCCACATATAGAAAAGAATAAATATGATTTATACCATACAGTGGTACAAATTGACTAAAGCTCCACTGTAGACAATACATAATGATGTATCTTAAAGTATTTACTGTGGTCTTACACATGTGTATATATGTTGACTTGCCCTGGAAATATTTCAGCTCAATCAAAAAACCTGGGTCCTGAACAGACTCTTCAAGGTTCTGATCCTTCTCAGAGTCATCCAGTCAACAGTAACTGAATTTGCAATATGGGAAGGCATGGGATTTCATCTGTTTTCTTCACTTTAAATCACACAGTGCATTCTTTTCCTGAAATTAAATTTCCTTTAGTTTCCTCTGCATCTCACCTCCAGTCATCTTTGGATAAATTTGTCAAGATATTCATTTCTTCTTCTTGCATAAGGCGGTAAGCTGCACTCACATGGTGATTCTCAAGGACAGAGCGGTCATTGTACAAAATAGCAACGTCAGACCTAAGAATTAAAAACAAATATTTGAGGGAGAATTGTTTTAGACTGCATGAGTGTCTAATAAAAAAGAGGTAATCAAGTTTCAAGTCATCACACCAGTAAAAATCCTGTAATTGAACACATAAAATTATGGAAGTACTTAGTATGATATTTTAAAATTATATATAGTCTTTAATTTTATAGCATTGTTTCATTCTTAGTGAAATTTCAGAAGATACAGAGATTTCCCATATACCTTCTACTTCCACACATGCATAACCTCCTCCATTATTAACAACTCCACCAGAGTTGTTCATTTGTTACTATTAATAAACCTGCATTGATATATTATCACTACTCAAAATCTATACTCTAATTATGTTTCACTCTTGGTGTCCTACACTCTTTGGGTTTGAACAAATATACCTAATATCATAATTAATATAATTTTACTGCCCTAAAACCCTTTCATGTTTCACCTATTTATCTTTTTTTCTCCTTCCACCCCAACCCTTGGCAATTACTAACCTTTTTGTTGCCTCTATAGTTTGTCTTTTCCAAAATGTCATACAGTTTGATTTATACGGTACTTTTTTCATATTGTCTCCTTTCACTTAGTAATATATACTTAAGTTTCTCCCATATCTTTTCAGAGCTCAACGGCTCATCATTTTTTAGTACTGTCTTAAGAGAGCATGAATTTTTAATTTTTAATTTTAATGAAGCCCAACTTAGCAATTCTTTTTTTCATAGATTTTGCCTTTGGTGTTATTTATGAGGACCCAAGGTCATCTAGATTTTCTCCTGTATTGTTTTCTATGAATTTTATAGTTTTATGTTTTATATTTACATCTGTGATCTATTTGGAGTTAACTTTTGTGAAGCATATAAGGTCTGTGCTCTATCAGAGGAGACTTCAGAATGAGTATTTATAAAGAACAGAAATTTATACTTCATAGTTCTAAAGGTTGAAAAGTCAAAGACGAAAGGGCCATTATCTGGTGAATACCTTCTTGGTGCTTTTTTGGACAACACATGATGGAAGAGCAAAGAGTCCAAGACAGCAAACCCACCTTCAAGAGCCTTTCATAATGGCTTCAATCTGTCCGTGAAGATGGACCCTTACACCTGAAAACTTCCAGTCAGGCCCCACTTCTCCCAGAATGTTACATTGGGGATTATGTTTCCAACACACTCATTCTAGGGGACACATTCAAACTATAGTAGTTTGTGTCTAGATATTTTTTTGCATATGGATGTCTAGGATTTTTTAAATTTTAACACTATCTGTTGAAAAGATTGTTTTTTCTCCATTGTATTGCCTTTACTCTTTTGTCAAAGATCAGTTGACTAAATTCATATGAGCCCATTTGGTATTCCATTTATATAAAGTTATCTATTTTTTCACCAATACCACACTGTGTTAACTACCGCAGCTTCATAGTAAGTATTGAAGTTAGGTGGTGTCAGTCCTCCAACTTTGTTCTCCTTCATATTTCTTTCTATTCTGGGTCTTTTCCACACAAATTTTAGAACCATGTTGAAAATGTCCAAAAACTAAGATTTTTTTCTTGTAATTGCATTGAATCTATAGATCAAGTTGGAAAAATATCACCATGATATGATTCTTTCTATCCATGAACACTGACTATCTCTCCATTTATTATTGCTTTCATCAGAGTTTTGTAGTTTTCCTTGATAGATTTCTTACGTGTTTTGCTGGATTGATAACTAGTATTTCAATTTGGGAGTAATACTGTTTTCATTTTCAAATTCTACTTGATCATTGCTGTCATATAAGAAAACAATTGACTCAGAATGGATTACAATCCATTAACTTTGTATCTTGCAACCCTGCTCTCATCACTTTTTAGTTCAAAAGTTAGTTTTGTTGTTTTGATAAGTCTTTCAGATTTTCTACATAGACAACCATGTTACCCACAGACAAAGATAGTTCTTCCTTCCCTTATGTATATATTTTTCCCCTTTTCTTGTCTTATTGCTTTAGTTGGGACTTCCAGTTTGATGTTGACAGTTGGTGGTAAAGAGTAAACATCTTTGACTTGTTCCTTATCTTAATAGAAAAACTTCAAGTTTCCTACCACAGCCTACAGCTTTTTATAGATATTCTTTTATTTAATGTATTTATAGTTCACCTTGACAAATAATAATTGTGTGTATTTATTGTGAACAACATGATATTTTGAAATACATAAATGCTATGGAATGGCTAGATTGTGTTAATTGATGTATATTATCTCACATATCACTTTTGTGGTGAAAATCTACTCTCAACAATTTTAAAACTATAACACATGGTTATTAACTATAGTCACCATGTTATATAACAGATCTTCTGAAGTTACGGTTCCTAACTGAAATATTGTATCTTTTGACTAATATCTACCTAACTACTCCCCTAAGCCCCATGGTAACTCTCAGATGCTCTTTATCAAGTTGAGAGAGTATTCCTCTATTCCTACTCTACTATATTTAACATGAATGGGCACTGGATTTTGTCACATGCTTTCTTCTGCCTTTATTGATGTGATCCTATGATTTTTCTTCTTTAACTTGTTGATGGGATGGATTACATTGATTGAATTTCAAATATTGAACAAGGCTTGCATATAGGGGATAATTCCCACATTGTGGTGCTATTCATTATCATAGCTTAAATATCTTTATGCCTTTTTAGTTTCAGTCTGTAAGCAAATACCTTTTCTAGATATCCAAAAGAAAAAAACACTACCAAATTTCCTCCTCAGTCAATCATGGGATGAATTAACGCCTTTGCACCTGCTTCTGGTAGTAGATTAGCACCCTCATTCCTTTGGTCTAAAATTTCTTAGACTAGGGGGTGAGTGAGATGAAACCATTTAGTCTACTTTTTATTCTAATTTTTCCTCCCACATAATGTGATTAAATTGAAATATTATAGATCCTTTACTATCAACTAGGGAAAAATTTTTAATCAAAACTTAAAATGTATGCTTTACCACCAATCAATAACTCATACTTTATTTTAAAATGATGAAATCATCAAGTGAAACTTTTTATTTCTCATCTGTTTATATTTTCATAAATTTAATCATCAAATAAATGACTTAAAGTTGCACAGATGAATTTGGTATTCCAGTATAAAGTCTGACATATTTCAAGCATTCTCAGTTCTGCATAAGGGAGTCTTTGCTTCCTGACCCTCTATCCTCCTAGGCTGCCAGATCATTTTACAGGTGTAACCTGGAAGCAGAACCACTATGTTCAATGTCTTAAAGTGGTAATCCATTCATATAAGTTGGCAAGGTGGAAGTAGGCAGCAAAACTATGCAGCAAAAGGAAAGCAAAGTTAAGAGCTGTAGCAACTTTTTACCATACTTCCTAGTACCCCGCCTTTCTCACACCCTTCCTCCTGTTAGATCCATTAGCTGCCAGGTATAAAACCCTCACTCAAGACTGTTTCCAGTACAGTCCTAGTTATAACATAGCACTTGCCTTGCCACAGGATGCTTACCAAATAGCAGGCAAGAACAAAATGATGAAGTAACCAAAGTTGCCACTAAAACAAAACAAAAAGGTGAGTAGCTATGTGAAATTATATGTATTTTAATTTACTTCCCCGGAGAAGCCATTTTACTATCTATGTGTATTCCATAACATCATGTTGTATACTGTATGCATAAAATTACTTCTTTCAAAAAGGAAGAATCAAAGAAATCTAACATCTGCTGCAAACAGTCTACTCAAGATCTGTGTCTGATAGGGTTCCAAATAAATCAAGCTTTTTTATTAGCCTGACAAAAGGAAATAACCTATGAAGCACTAGAATACTTTCTTCTTTTTCCAGCATTATCGTAATGGTGAAATAACATACGTATTTATCTAATAGCGTGAATCGCCTACTGATTTCTTTTCAGTATTCTCAATTAAGGCCTAAAAGTCTCCTAACCAATAATCGCCACTCAATGCAGAAAAAACTGAGCTAGAAAAGTCTGCATGTGGTCCATATTATTTAAGAGATAATGAAATAGATATTGAGTCAAATAACGTGTACTGCTAGAAATGTGCTAAGATAACAAGAAAAAAAGTGAGATTTTCCAATAATTTCATTTGTATCATACAGACCCCAATGTAGCTATAGCAGGTTTGTCAGAGTAGCATAACTCCAGTGTCACTGTCCCTTTCAGAAACAAAAATGTGTTCTGAGCCACATTAATTGTTGCAAAGTATGCATGTTTTCTCTCACAAATCCAACAAGAATGCTAAGAATACAGCATGCTCTTAATGTTTGAGATGGTTTTTAACTGCTAAGAAAAGAACAAGACTCTAAGCAGCATCCAGTATCCATGGCAACATGTACCTTGGCATTTTTTGCAGAGGAAATTATTTCCATTTATTTACACTTTCAAGGATTTTGTACCTTATATCTTTATTGAACTCAAATCTAGCCTTGCCCTGTGTTCTAAATTAGTTTTTGGTCATTTTGCATTATACAGTAAATGAGTTTCCATATTAGAAAAGCACTCTAAATATAAATAATAATGAATAAAATAAAATAGAATTATTGGTATCAGTGTCATATGACCTTATTTCTCTTTTGACAAAATGTGGAGTTATGTGAGATTTAAAAAAGCATGTTATATTGTTGCAGATTGGTCACAACACTTTTGCTCACAGGATTTCCAAGTCTGAATAGAATTAAACCATTAAATAATTGACCTTGGTAGACAATTTATAGTAAAATATAGATTCCTCCATTTTGTGTACAGTTTCTTAAGAAAGATTTCTTTTTCTTCCTCCTATGCCCCTTTCCCTCTTCCTTCTTCCTCCTTGAGTTCCTCCTTCTTCACATTTCCTCTTTCTCCACAGCTCAAAGCAGTAGTAAGTTAAGATCATTCATTCAGTTCAGGAGAAAACTAGACATGATGTTGTAACACAGGAGTCAAAAAAGCCAGTCCATTGCTTTCCCTTTTCAAAGTAGAAAGGGCAAGAAGCACTCATTGATAACAAAACACTTATTCCCTTCTCCAAACACTAACACTGTTGTTCTATGCAGAGTTCCAGTTAAGTCTAAAGACCTGTCTTTGATTAAATTCTCCTCATAATGCATTCTATGGATGAAAAGAGCAAAAATTATATACATAGTCTTCTTTTTATTTGATATTAACACAAACAAAAGCAAATTAACTTCTAATATTCTGCAAATATATGTAGATTAATAACATTGCTTCTGTGCAATCAGATTGCAAGGTTTTCCTTTTTCTTTCATTCTGTGTCACTCTGGGAGACTCAAATTTAACCCAAAACAGGAATAGATAGAATGCCTTCCAAATATTTTATTTGAATTTCAACTCTATCTCCATCAAGGGGCATAATGGTAAGTCTGGACCATTCCAGGCTATAAAAGTTTGGATCTATCAAGTCACTTTCTCTGACTGTGGGAACAGAGTTGTGTCACTACCAGGACTGAGAGTCTGGTAGTTCTCAGTATCTCAGTCCTGGCACCACTATCACCTGACTGTACATATACACAGGTCACTTCATCTCTACAGATCTTTGATTTTTCTTATACTGTGAGACTTAAAATAATCTATAATGTGAATTACAGTCACCTCAGGGCACATTTAAGTTTTAAAATACTTAATATTTTAATAACTATTTCTCCACTCCCCACATCAAAAAAGTAACTAGTTGTACCTGGAAAATTAGTTGTAAAAATATTTCTATTAAAAAACTAAGTGAACCAGCTACATAAAAACTTGCACGTTTAAATTTATAGAACCTTTGTCCTATGTGCCCAAATTTGGGAACAACCAAGATTTCTTCCAATAGATGAACAGATAAATAAATTTCAATACATTCATAGAATGGGAAATTATTCTACAATAAACAGAATGAGCTATCAAGCCATGAGAAAACATGGAGGAATCTTAAGCACATATTGCTAAGTAAAAGAAGCCATTCTGAAAAGAGTATATACTATGATTTCAACTGCATGACATTTTGGAAAAGGAAAATCTAATAGGGCATTAAAAAGGTCAGTGGTGGCCAAATGTAAAGAGAAAGGGAGAGGGGAATGCACAAGTAAAGCACAGGGGATTTTAGGACAGTAAACCAATTGTATAGGATACTGCAATGATAGATACATGACATTACACATCTGTCAAAATCCATGCAACCTATAAACAAAGACTGAATGGATTTTAGTTGCTAACATATCAATATTGATTTACCAATTGTGGCAAAATTACCACACCAATGCACGATGTGTGCACTGCTTCCTACAGAAGGGTAAAGTATAGGGTGAAACTATAAGGTGGCAAGAGGGAGTATATAGGTACTCTGTACTTCCTGCTCAATTTTTCTATAAACATAAAATTGCTCTAAGGAATAATGTCTATCAAAATAAAACAAATGAATAAATAGAAAATAACCAGATTTAGTTTTTCTTTCAATAGGAACAGAGAGTTCTACCATGGTTCCAGAGAGAAATATAAATCTCTTAACTTGCATTTCCTTGTTAAGCATTCTTGACTAGTGAAAGACGTATAGACATATCAGGATCCCACATATAGAAAGAGATTTGGATCCTGATTTGTCCTGGACTAAATTCTAGCTCTCAGTACTGATACCTGTCTAACTAAAAAGAGCTTATCATACCTTCCTGTGATAGACTGAGTTGTGTCTCCCCTAAAATACATATGAAGTCCTAACCCTTAACTAAGGTTAAATGAAGCAATGTAATAAGGTAAATTAAGGTAACATAATTAAGGTTAAATGGTAATATAATCCAATATGACTGATGCCTTTTTTAAGAAAAGGAAGTGACACCAAGGAAGCATGTGTAGAGAGAATAGACCAGGTGAGGACTCAGCAAGAAGGTAGCTGTCTGCAAGTGAAGGAGAAAGGCCTCAGAGGAAATCAAACCTGCTGATGCCTTGGTATTAGAGTCCCAGCCTCCAGAACCTTGGAAAAATAAACTTGTATTGCTTAAATCATCCAGTCTGTGGCATTTTTTATGGCAGTCCTAGGAGACTAATGTACATCCATTACAGTATTTTTGATTCAAATAACTCCACCATTATAACCACCTTTGAAGAATCTCATTTCCAATTATTTTAAATTTAATACTTCATATTAGCCTGGGAATGTGATTTCTTTGATCTCTGGATTTTTTCAGACGCACAATTTTACTACTGCAGATATGTCATGACATAAATCAATATATTGAACAATATATTGCAACACTTGTCTCAGTGACTATATGTCTGACTTGTGTGATACAGCTCATAGTGTAAATTATGGGCAGAGAGAGAGTGCCTTACATATTTCTCTGATTTTAAGTTCTAAATATGCCATACATACACAAGAGCAGTTGATTGACTTAAGTGGTCACAGGATAAGGAAGTCACTTAAACCTATTCTTATTATAATCTTCATTTAAAAAAATTACCCAAAATAAGGAATATGCAGAAAAATTATTTTAAAATTTGACCTGTAAAAGGAATACTTTATGGAACTTACCTTGTCTGAATATGAAAGTTGTTTGTGGTCCCTGTATGTTCGTAATCATGAATGGCAGCAGCAAAGACCATGGCTAAAATTTCCAGTTCAGTGAGCCAGTGCTGGAAAATTGAAGAAAGATCACATCATGTTCAGGAAGCAGAGGTCATTTTTTCTTTTCACAGAAAAGATTCAGTGTGCCAAACTTGTGAAATCATATAAAATCGCATTGTGTTTCTTTGAAATAAAATTTTTCTTCCTATTTTGCCTCATTGAAGCTCCATGAAGTCTATGATTATTTCATGACTTGTAGGTTTGAAATTTTCAATTCAAAATATAATTTTCCTTGCTAATTGGAAAAGGAATAATTTTCTATGATTTAAAAAATTAACTGAATTTTGAATTCACAGCCTTACTAGCTTGTATTCTCATGAAATCAATTGCTGTCCAGTGATTTTAAACATACAGTTCATATATCATTTTTAGACAACTGTAGAGAATCCAGCTGTGAGAAAAATTTCCACATAAATATTGAAAATATTTAGTTTGTTCATGAGGGAAACTGAACTTCTTTTTATATTTAAAGATTTAAAAGAGTTCCTGAGACTTTGCTAAATTTTCAAAGCCCACACATGACCATGCAAATAAACTTCATAATTATAAAGGAAAGAATAATTACTTCCATGTAAAATCCAAGACCAACCTGTGTAATACACATTAATCTTTCTCTTATCAACTGGATGGCTTTATAAATTTCCCTACTATTTTTAAGTTTATTTGGCAACAATTCAATAGTCTACTCTTCATTCACCATCTGTATAACACTTTTATTGCACTGTCTAATATGGCAACCTCATGTGACAATTTAAAAGTAAATAAAGTATAGTAAAATTAAATCCACTTTCCCAGTTGCACTCACCACACTTCATGTGCTCACTACTTATATGTGCAATTGGTTACATACAACAGTGTAGACATAAGCAATTTCCATCATCACAGAAAGTTCTATTGGACAGCACTGCAAATATATAGTTCCTGTTTTAAGAATGGAAGATCCAAAAGGGTATGTAACTTTCTATTAGTGGTCTTATTCTATACATTTGAAACAATTAAATATATTTCACAAAACAATATAAAAATATATAAACTGTATGTCTACCTGGCAAAAGTTAAAAGGATAAATACATAATCTAGGGATAGGTAGAGAAGCTATCTGTTAGTAATGGATTTGGCAAGGATAGGCAAAGATTGGTGGTTAAGCGCAGGACAATGGGCAGAGGGATTTTTAAATAGAAAGAACAACTGTAGAATATTTGACACATAATGGGAATTTAACATTTGTTGAATCGACTTTCATCTGATTTGCATAGAGAGAGGTAATTAGGGACAATGGAAAGAGACTGTGGGATCAGACAATTCTGATATTTAAATCTCTGTTGATATTAAAAAAAACATTATTTACCCACTCAGCTATACAGTTACCATTAACACGGGATTACTGGTTATTCCTCGGGAGGGTGGGGTTAAAAGAAGTTTAGAGCTAATGTATATTCTGCTCCTGTCACAAGACTTGTCATATAGTAAAGTACATAATAAATGGCATTTGGTAACTTACCACTTTGCATTGTTTAAGGCATTAAATCTGGAAGATAACAGCTAACTTAACTGATTATAATTCAAGTATAAATGCCTCACAGTTGGATGGCTGAAGTAGTAATGACTTTCTGAACAAAGGGAGTTGATATAACTAAATGTTCTGTGTACAGATGCATTTAATTGTGAATAATTTAAAAGAAAGAAAGTGACCTCATTAATGGCCCGTGTTATAGGCTGAACTGAGACTGAGCCTCCAATGTTCCTGTTGAGACTATGGAATTGAACATCATGAAATGAATAGAAATTGAATTAAACCAGTTTTTATACAACAGAAACCCATTGTTTTATTAAACAAAATTGCTTCTTGGGGGAAAAATCACCTATTTTCTTTTTCTTATTGGTTATATTTATAGCTTTATGGACTGAACTATGGTTTAAAAGAGAACAGCATTCAATATCCACTATAAGATTATCAAATATGAAGCTGCAAAAGTAAAAAGAAAGTTAGGAAATCAAGGAAGGGATTTAATTATAGAGTAGCTCATAAGTATTTAAAATTATCTTCCTCGTTGTCAAAATTGATTATAAATGTATTTCCTGTTTTTCCTTTAATTAACCTCTGCCTCCCATAAATAGAACTTCCTCCATGAGCTCCATTTATTTAGTGCCATACTATGGTATAGTGATTAAGTTTACATTGCAAACTAGTTTGGGAAGAGAGAAATACTGAAATTTCATACTAAATTGAACATCTTTCTTGAATTAGTGAAAGTAGAATTTTGGACCGATTGTTAGCTCCTTAGCTTCTGATTCATTTTATGCTGATGTCCAGAAAATAGATGTTTAAATTCACAGATTTTTAAAAATAATTCATGAGGACAAGCTAGAGAGTATAAGAATCCACCACGTCACTCTTCCCACCTAGAACACTGGGGAATATAAAATTGAGGTCCTGCTGGTTCCCAGTGGGCAGAAATAAAGGGTGGAAATGAGGAGCCCTTAGCAGAACAAAGCACTCTCTGTAGGTTGCACTTTTCCTAAAGAAGTGCTCAGGTGGACACACTCTAAAGTGGGAAGTCCAAAAGTGTATTTCAAGAATGTGTTATTACTACTAATAGCAATACAAAGATGACGGAAAAGGAAGGAAACTGACATTAACCAGACACTCCAGCTAGATGGTGTCATTTAATCCATACAACATACCATTACCATTCACTAGGTGATATTTTTATGCTATGTTGGCAGATGACAAAACTGAATCCTAAAGAAATAGATCCATGACCCAAAGGTTACAAGGCCATCTAGTGACAAAAGCAAAAATTCAAACCAAAATTGATTCCAAATTTTCTCTTCCTTCTGTGGTCTGCAATAGCTTTCATTATTCAAGAGAGACAAAATACTGAATGTATTCTTCTAAGCTTCAAAAAGCAGAATTTCAAAGTAACTTATCTAGATAGATGAATGTATAAAGCTAATACTGGTTTGATTTAAGATATAATTTTTATATCTGAATTACTGTGTGTGTGATAGAGAGGGGGTACATGCATATATTTGGAGTGGGAAGAATTTCAGAAAAATCATACTGAATTTTTAATTCCTACTGTCCAAAAGAGCAACAACTTTTTAGGCTGAAGTTATGGGATTAGGCACTTTTCCTTCTTTAACCCTCTGAATAGGCTAAGGAGATTTATTATAATTTACCAGAATAGAAAGCTGGTAAAATTAACCATAGGGTATGTATTAATAGTTATCTGTTTCAGAAATTAGGTTAGGTGCTTTACAAATACAACTTAATGACTTCTCTTTACCATCCTGTAAGGTAGTCAGTATCATTGACTCACTTTAGTGACAAGGGGACTAAGGTAGAGAGCTAGCAAGTTAAGAAATCTCACAGCATGGTTTTCAATCCTATGTCTAGTGGCCTCCAAAACCTACAAGGTTTCTTACAGTGTTGAAACCGTTTAGAAGAAAATATTTTTCACATAATTTACAGAATAGGGACATAGTGTCACATTTTCTGTAGATTGATCAGAGAAAAAATAGTCATTTTAAAGTTTGGTAGACTGCTTCTGGACATAAATGGACTCCAGTTCCAAAAGAAATAGGCCGCAAGTATACCTCTTTCTTTTACTGTATTAGAGAGAACAAAATGCCAGGAGCTTTCAAGTGCAAGTGTTCTCTGGGCAAAGCTCTTGGATGATTTTGTATTTAAAAAGACAGAATTAGCTTGGCAGCACTCCATAAAACACTGGATCGAGTATCTGCACATCACTTGTAGCACAGGGCTATAAGTTAATGAAGTGACAAAAGGAGAAAGAGGCAAGCAGCTCAGATCTTCAGCTTCAGGTCTTCTCTGTACTGTCAAGTCTCAGGCTTGAGGGAGCCCTATGACATTAACAAACAGGAGGACAATGGCTTCATTGCAATTCCTTTCAGGCAATGGTCCTCAGAATATCTTGCAGGTGACAAGATGCATTTGTCATCTGACAGTGTTGACTGCCACACTGACAGGGCCATCAACTAACGCACTGAAGGAAAAGTGACCCCATCTTTTTCATACCAAATCTGATGAGGCAGAAAATACTGATGAGCTTTATCTAATCAGTATTTCTTCAATGCTTTCTTTTTAAAGACCAATATACTCTATGTATGAAAATTAGTATTCACCTACAATCACCTTTTCATTTAAAGAAAAGCTTATTAAAATAACTTTCCAAAACTGTCAAGCTGGTAATGTAACCTCATTTTGACAAAATAGTCAACACATTTCTGAATTCATTCTGCCTTCCCTTTCACTATCTATTGTAAAATTTCTCATTATTCTCTCTAGTTTTCCTGATCTTGTATAAAACTAAAGGTCTACAACCAGACTACATTTGTAACAACCAAACTAATGAGTGAGTAAAAAGCCCACTGACAAGTCTTTGCTAAATGATGAAGAAAATCAGAAACAGGTTGCCATGTCAATCTTGCTACAGCAGGATAAGTTGCATTTATGTCTGATAAGCCATGGCTTTCTGAGAAAGTGACTGTGTGATCTGTACTAATGATTTCAACTCTCTTGGAGTCATGCCCAACCTGGGTCAGATTTCCTAGCCTTCCAGAGAAGGGGGAATGGCTTATTATATTCTGCAACAAGTCTTCCTTAGAAGTCTAAGGGTCACAGTATGGATTTCAGTTTCTCTAATTACCCAGTAACACGACACTCCCCCTGCTCCATCTTTTGAATGTCACCTTCAAACCAAGGGTTCCAAAGCTAAAATAGAAGACCTTTATTTGGCTCCCTTTATACATGTGGCAAACAAAACCAAAGAAAACAAAATGTACTTGAGCAGGAGCATATTTTAAGATGATGAAATTCTGGTTACCTCCCAGCCTGAAATAGCATGTATTTTCTCATTTCACCTCATAATTAAGCATATATTTTATTATACTGAAGTAGGCATTACTTTTCTATTCTGTCTTGTTCTGAGGAAACCTAATCAGTTTAGTTCCATTTTTGAATGACATTTAGCATTTTTCAGTTAACTTTTACAAACCCACAAAATTCAGGAAGCAGAAAATGCCAAACACTTGAAAAAAAAATTACCTTGCCATCAGATTCAGGACAAAGGCTTTAGAAAGAGAAAAGCAAATAGCTGTAAAAAGGAAGCTCCCAATGCAGCTTTCTCCAGGTGTAACAGCATTTGTAGGTAGCTGTCAGGAGGCCCTTCATTTTCACATTGATACACCATGCATATGAAACCAAAGGACAGCAAAGCGTTCCTGAAGCAGCTGTGACAGTGAAGTCTTACATACCAAAAAGAACTTTAGAAGAATTTCTGTGTGTCTATGTGTACATGCATATTATACACTAGAAAGGAAGCTCAAATATATCACTTCTTAAGAGGTAGATTGATGTGCAAACTTTAGAAGGCAAAAAAAATGAGGAGTAGAGAATTTGTTTGGTCACCATATGAGACACTGTTTGATGATTCCTTCCAAATGGATATTACTGTAGCAAATAGCACAGTTGGTTTCTGGGTAGAAAATGCCATGGTGATGGTAAATATCTTGTAAATGCTAACCTTGGAGAATTATAACCTGCAAGAAGTTTTCAAGATCTTTAAGATTCTATTACAAGAACCCCAGGGGATTTGCTTGGGGCCAGATTAGTAATGTAGTCCATGATGTAGAATGATATGGTATCGAGGATCTCTGGGCCCCAAAGAGTACATGTTACATAGGTCGAAATGCCAGTGAGCCTTGCCAATAGAAAGAATGTGGCTTCTGAAATCTAAACAGATAGATAATGCATATTAAGGGGTTTAGGAGGCATTTTATGCAGGCATTTTATGGCGTAGTCTCAGCTTGATTGGCACATGAGAAATCAAGAAGGCATTAGGATTTGGGGATCTCATGGCCCACACCTTTTTGAGCCCACGTCAATTGGGCACCTTCACAAGGAACGGCTTCTCCTTCCTTTTCTTCTTCTGGGAGTCATCCTGAACTCTAAGACATTACAGAGGTTCTAAGTCTTCCCAGAACTCTAGTCATATACTCACTGTTATCCCAGGATTTACATTCCTGAGTCATTTATTCTCTCATCGTTGATTCATTCAGATGCAGAGAGGAAGGAACATTTGGAAAAATTTACATGAAAAATTTCCACAAATCCCTAAAAGGATTTAGTTAGGCTCAGTAATGTAAACAAAAGAGAATAGCTCCTAAAGATAGTTTAGGAGGAGACTTGGAATGAAGTAAGTGCATTGTAATTTATTCTGAAGGCTTTCTAGGTCACTTTTTCCTTGTTGTTAATGCCTATGGAAAAAACAATTTACATACAAAAATGATCTATAATCCAAATTTTGGAAAACTAATATATTTTAATTTACCTTTATCCTTAATTTATTTTTTTAACTGTAAAATGTTTTTCTGAAAAATCTATGTTATAAATAAGTAAACTCAAAATCCAAACAACTATTACATATCATACATTCATGGGTAGAATTTAGAGACGGAATGGAATTTAATGTCTCCAAACTAAGAAATGTCAGTCATAAAGGCTTTCTTACCATGATACCTGTATGAAGCATTATGTAATGCACAGTCTGAGTGACATCTGCTGCATGAATCAAATTATGATATGGATTTTTGTACTTGCTGTAACCAACTTCTAAAGCTTCTGCAAAAGCAATTAGGCAAGAAACAGGAATCTGTGGAAAGTAATAGCTATGATTATATTTTTGCCAAAAGCACATTACTACATCAACATGAGCACAATGTCTGGGGATAGGGCCCATCAGCGAGTCAGATGTGGGTTGTATTTTCTTTAAGTTGTATATGGATTGCTCTGAAAACCCACATTGCTAACATGTTAACTTTCATCCCTGAGAAGGATTATAGCCTCAACTATTTAATCCAGATGAAATAACAGTCTTACCCAGAACATATAGCTTTAAGTTTATATCTTCCAGAGGTTTTCTTTTTTGTACTGAAGACTGAACTCAGGGTCTCTTGCTTGCTAGGCAAGTGCTCTATTACTTGGGCCATACCCCCAGTACAAGGCTGGTTCTTAAAAAAGCAAACATTCCCAGTTAAAATTAGCAAAGTCTAGTTTTCCTACACATAAAACAAGGAGTTAAACAATTTCTCAATACCTTAGAGCTCTCACAATGTCATAATTTACAGGCTACAGACTGCTCAGAAGACTAGCTCATGTCTGTTGTGTAGATGGCTGCAAATGAAGTCAAGTAGACTGTCAATCTCAATCATTTCAGCTTAAGAAAACCTGGAAGTAAGTCCAGCATGGTGGCACAGGCCCATAATGCCAGTGCTCTTGGGCTAGTTTGGGCTACACAGCAACTTCAAGACCAGCCTAGGCTACGTAGTGAGAACTTGTCCCAAAAACAAAAGAAAAGAAAAACTGGTGATAAAGATTCTTTCTGTGCTTTAGGAACACTGGAGAGCTATCATATTTCTTTAAGACATTGCTTTTAGTGCCTGCATGAGTGTTCTGTGCATAGTTCAGTGATGTCAGTGTCTTTTAAGAATTCAGGCTATTGCAGTTTTGTGATCTCCAAGTGAATAGCTATGCCAGTGAAAGCTCCATCATGTGGAGAACTTATCCTCTGAGTCTATTACCTGCTAACTAGAAACATTCAGAATGGAATGATTGACTGCTCAGTGTTCTGCGTGTTCATTCTTATTTAAATAACCGAATCTAAGAGCATTTCACTTTGGTTTCATGTTTCTCACCTTGAAGCGGTTGATAAGATCATATCTGGTAAACAGTTCATAAATCATAAACTTCAGACTATGCTCTCCACTTGCTTCATTTAGGGCAAATACATCAAAAGACCATTTATCAACATCCTGTAGGAAAAAGAATAAACACATTAGTGGCAATATCTTATATTTCCGTTGCCTTTTTGTGAAAAATTAGGTACTGTGCATTCTACAGGTAATATTTCAGTTCAGCATGTCAAACTATACTTTACCAGAATCTGATATGACAGGGCCACAAAAGTAAGGTCATAATGCTTAATTAAACTGATAGAATAAATCTGATCATACTTTTATCTTTCTCTCCCCAACTTCTTGCCATAAATCATCTTCCCAGAGTGGGCCCCATTTTAAAGTAGAATTGCTAGTGATATGGATGATGTCAATTGAGGGAGTAAGGGTAGAGTACCAATTTTATCTTTTCCACCCACCCATCCACCTGCTTGTTGCATTGCTTGAAATTTCAGCATAAGAGTTTGTAAGGTAGCTTAAAGCTTTGATATCACCTGTCTTCTTTTAAATACAAATACACAGAGAGGCAGAATATACACTACCTTAATATTACTCTAACCTAGGCTGACTCATTTATGCTTTTCTTCAGAGATAGGTGTTGAGAAAAAGAAGTGGGTCTTTTGATTGAGGAGGAGGATAATAATTTTGCCATTTCATGCAATTCCTAGGGAAGCAGGCAGGTACAATGGGAAAGTACCCAGTTAACAGTGCAGAGTGGGCAGTAAGCAAGGTTTTCCAACTACTTTAGTTACCTCACAACTTTGCTCTAAAAAATCTAGAGAATCACAGCATTACATTTTAAAGATGACTAGAGATGTTAGTAAAGAAGGCCTAGTGTTTACACATACAGCAGACTTAATATTGAATCTTAAAGCTCTACATTTCAATAGGTACTATATAGAATTTAATCCTTTTAATATTTTAACATTCTTAAGAAAGCCAACTCTATGTGCTGTAACTGAAAATCTGATGAAAGAAGTCTCTTTTAAATATGCCTCCTTTGAAGGTAATAGTATCAATCTCAAATGGTAGTTTTAATCACTTGGAACAAAACACTAATGAAGCATTTTCTGGTTTCCTTGTAGGCCACTGTTAAATTCTTTCCATTTGGCTCCAATTTTGATCCCCAAACACTTGCTTTATCTCTTTGTAAATTCAAAATCTTTTCTAAAGGTTCTGTTAGGAAGATTTTTACATTAGTAGAGCTCAAAGGAGGCCAACAAATCTTTTATCACATTCCAAAGCTAACACGAAGAGTTAGTTCAGATTTTCAAGGCTATTTACAGTTCCAACTGGGGTTTCCCACCGAGCGTGGGGTCAGCGCTCCATTTCTTGGGGAGTTTCATAAACAGTGATGATTTACATTTGTAAACTACTGCAGATGCTTGGCTTCTCTGCTGTCAGATTGAGAACAAACAAGACAAGGTTTCTCAGAAAATAAATTATTTAATTAAACTATTCTTTGGTGATTTTTTTTTCCTCCTTCAAACTCCTAGTTTATGTGTTTTTACTAAACTGCATTTTAAAAAAACTATTATATTCTTTCATACAAAAACATTTAAGTTGGTTTTTAAGCAAAGATTTTTAAAATAAATAAAATAAAACTATGTAATTTTCTTGAACATTGTTGAGGGAATGCAAACCCTCAAGAATAGAGTACTAATTAATAAACTCTATGTAACACTTCAGTCATACATTTATCTTTATTATAGTTTTAGAAACATAAATATATTAAAAAGCATCTGTGAAAAATGAACTCACTTTTTAAATTAATAAGATTTAAGTCTAATATACAGAAGAGAAAAAAAATAAAAGCAACAAGGATTCTTTAACGGAAACTAAAACGTACAAATAAGCAATATAAATTTTATATGGGTAAGGAGTATAATAAATCAGAATAAAGCAATCCAAGACCTTCTGAATGCTTCAAAGTTGTTTTAAGAGACAAATCTGAGCTCTCACAACCAAATTAAGAGACAGAAAGAAATAAAGGTTGAACCTGCTAAGTGCCTTTACAGAAATGCCATGTATGACAAGTGTGCTCATACGTGACACACACAAACTGGTGGGAAGTGAGCCAACAACTTGCCCATTGGAGTTTTAACTCTAATTATTTCTTAACACAAATATTGCAGCTATACTTCGGATTAGGGTAGTCACAGGAGAAACCAGAGGCAAAAGAGACAAATTTCTTTTCCATTTTTTTTCTTAATTTTATTTCATATTTTCTCAGACTTAAAACACTAAATATTTTTCTTCTACATATGTTTTGTCATTTAAACATAACCTAAAACATCTTTTCGTAACACATTCTTATTCTTTCTCCCCTCATAGATTTGTAACAAAATATGTGTATTCTGACAAATAACAGTGCCATCTCAAAATGGGATTCAAAATCCACCTATATAAAGCACGGAAAAAACATCACACATGCAAGTGTATGCATGCATGCATGAGTACCGTGCAGCTCAATCCTCATGTAAGTCTATAATAAGTCACGGTTTGGGACACATCACATTTTGTAAATGGTTAAAATAATTTTTATATTCCATTATGTACACACAACAAAGACCTACTCTTGTTTTCTCCCAGACATTTTGAGATAATAATAATAATAATAATAATTATTATTATTATTATTGACAATACTGGGATAATGGTGATTTTTTTAAAATGACTATTGTATAAATGAAAATAGTTGAAATTATTTCACCTTTAAGGTTACTATGACAGCTGCTGGATATGCCAAACCAACTACGTGGTAGCTTTTTCTGTACATCCTAAAAAGAGAAAAATAAGTATAGTTATAATATTCATTTGCTCAAAGTTTACAGCTGCTTCTCAAATATAAGGGAAAAAAATCACTCTTGACTTGGTCACCTTTTACCATTAACTACAGATTTCCTTTGTGTCAAAAATGATAACTGCTGCTACCATTGATGTGTCTGCAGTATGACAGGTGTTAGTAGCATTTTGTCTATTCATAGCCGCCCTGTAAAGTTAATGTGATTTTGGTTTCCATGTAAGGATATCTTCCCCTGAATTTCATCTGATTAAATGATGGACAATACCTTGCATATGTGACAACACTTTCTTATATCCTACCACATCCATGACAGCAGGATATTCTTGTTTTATGTCCTCTTCGTTATTTTATTGTTTAACAAAATAGAAATTATATCGGAATTTGTTATTAAGCATATTGAGGAAGATTATATTGACAAAAATTACTTGTTCAAACAGTCATCCAATGTAATTTAATGAAGATTATTCAGAAAGAAAATAAAGTCCTATTTCCATAATAACAAAAACACTTTAATTAATCAGTAATTTTGTTCTTCATTTTCTGATGAGCAACCAAAGACATAAACCAAATATAAGAACCTTTCCTTCCATGGGTTCATGTAAGCATAGGATCAAAAAGCTATTCTAACATGTAGAAATAGCAGTAAACTTTTATTTGGGACCATGAACTCCTCACAAAGTCCTGGGAAGAAATAATTCAATTGTCAGTTGTGTCTCTTAATTTTTATATCAAGTTGGTTTACCATAAGCTGTATTCCTAGACTATATTGTACATTCTCCCCCCAAAATTCTGGAACAATACCATAATTTAATTAAATGTAATGATAAGTAAGGTCAATATAATAAATAGCTATGTGGAAAATATTCTGCATTTAAAATCACTGTGGAAAATACCAACCCTTTTGAATCAATCACCATATGTTAAAAATGGAGATGACATATTCCTTGGTGTACATGGAAAGCCATAATTTTTAAAAGATAATAAAAGTCAAGTAATTCATCATGTTTTATTTTTAAATCCTGACTTCTGGGATTGGAGGTATGGCTCAGTGGTAGAGTGCATGTCTAGCAAGTCTGAGACCCTGAGTTCAAACCCAAGTACTGCCAAAAGATAAAATAAATCCTGACTTCTTGGAAGTTCAGAATTAAAGTATCATTTTAATTTTAGCTCCAGCCTACATTTTCTTGATAAAGTATCTCCCCCATTTAATTACAGAGACTTATTAAAATAGCAGATTACTGTTACTTTATTTTCATGTTTCAATTTTATGTTTATTTTAATGACCATAAATCATTTTTTGGATTTGGGTGAAAAGGTATCATAAAAAACTATTCTTACTCTTTATTGGAAGATTTTAGAAGTGTTTATAAGTAAAAATTCTTCCAATAATTACTAAATTGAGATAGGTATAATTGTTCTAATCCTACAGAAGAAGAAAAGTACTAATCACACTACAAAAGATCTAGAAAACAGCCCTAGCCAATCAGAATACTTAGCTGTGGGTATGTTTTAGGAAACAAAGTCTTTTCTGCCTATTTCCTTAGTCATTACTATAGTTTTAGATAAACAGAGGTACAGAGGAAAAGAAAGGGCTACGAACAAGGTAAAGTTCAATATAAAAACTGACCAAGAATAAAAAATTTTAAAATATTGAGTAATATTAAACCAGTTTGATTTCATGGTACAGAAAGGAACACATGCTTTAATCAAAAGGTACTCAGTAGCTGTGTGACTTTTGAAATGTTAGCTATTTCATGCAAACTGAGAATTATAAGCTTTTTGTGAAGAGTAAAGGATATAAATGCCTGATATAACCTAGTACTCAGCGTAAGAAAGCTATGATTACTATCACTGTAATCATTCTCATTGTGAGGCTGGTCCCACAATTGTCCAGCTCAATTTTTCAGAGCTGCTTGGGCTCAGTGAGAACTCTGATACTAGTGAGCTTCTTCTACTAGGAATCGGCTGAGAACATGATTATTGATGTATTTCCTCATATGAAATGAAAAAAAAGACAAAAAGGATTTTCCTTCTGAAGAGCTTGAAAAATTTCCCTATTAGCATTCATTTCTAATACTCTAGTCAGGAATAGAATTCTAGTATGGAAAGTTAGAAATAGAAAATTAGGTGAAAAATTAAGATGACTTCTCTTGGAATCAGAATGAGCAAGAGAGAAACATTAATCCAGTTGCCTTACACTTTGATAAATATATCACAGTTTTCTGGAAAAGAGTAACAAATTTCCTAGGATCCTACAGGTGGTGAAGTCCAATTGAAAATAAGATGAATTATTCTTGGAAGTTTTTACTACAATTACAAAATATTAGTCAAAACCTTAAAAAAAAGCAAAACCAAACACTATTTTATTCTAGTCTCTGTGCCAGGCAACACACCATTTAGTGGAGAACAAGGTAAATAGACTTGCTGCTGGTATAGCTGTTCAGTCAAGGATGAAGGCAGCATTAGATGATGCTAGATATTAAGAGGGGGCCTGATTGGACAAGGTCTGATTACCAGGTGAAAAAGAAAACCATCACATGACTTTAACACAGGAACAAGTCTATATTTCACAGCACTGTATAGAGTGACCTGCTTGGAGAGGGCAAGTGAGGAGAAGAAGAACCTGGTTAGAAAGCTTCAGTAGTATTTCCAATAGGGAATCATGGAGACTTGGATTGGGGTTATGGAATGGGGGTGAGTACTCATTTGCATAAGTAATTGCCAGGACTTAATGTTGCACTGACTCTCAGGTGAGGGAGCAACAAGACTTCCTGAAGACTTCTAATTTTCATCATCAAAGATAATTATTTTTGAAAATTCAACGTCACTAATAGGAATTCAACAGTGATAAAAAATATTTCATTTTTAAATGCTCTGAGCATGTCAACTTCAAGATTGTTTGCTAATTTAGTTACCATATGTATATTTTGATATTTCTATAGCCAATTAAGTAAAATTTGTTTTAAGTAGCTTGTGAAAAAATGGAAATTTAGCATGTTAACACAATTTCATAAATTCTTCTTAACCTTGTCTTAATGGAAATGCAGATTCAGTCGGTTTTCTTCCATACTTTGCATTTCCTTTCAGTTTGACAAATTCTGCAATATTTTCTCAAACAAAGCATACAAGATATATATTGCTTCAGCAAATCAAACATAATCTCCAATTCTCTCACTGACTTCCTAAAATACAATTTAGATAATTTAGATCTAACATTATGGGAAATCAACAATTGTCACACATATGCCAAAGTTGTTTTTCAAAAAAAAGTTTGGTTACAGACATTCTTTACTCTCAGCCCTGCCTCCTTGCTTCAGACTTCTGTTCTGCAAAATTAGAATAAGCTTATGCACTGAAGAGGGTGGTGTCATATCAGCAAGCTAATCAGACTATGAATTTTTAGAGTTCTTCAATCTAAGCCAATTAGATATGGTTAAGAAATTTGAAAAACAGTTTAGATAGTCACTCAGTGGATGTTATTTGGGGTTATATAACCACAATACAAGCTATCAGAAGTTTTATGTGCTATGGTTGCATTACATCTAAACTTTATAATATTCTTGAAGTGCATTCTCATTTACATTTTTAAAATTCAAGTATCTTTTCCATTATTCCTTTTGTTGGAGGTAATGCCTTGAGATATCAAGATGAATAATGATGCAGTCTCCCTTAAACTTAAAGTACATTGAAATTGGGCATGATGGAGCCCACCTGAAATGCCAGCAGTAGGACAGCTGAAGCAGGCGGATCATGTGTGTGAGGCCAGCCTGGGCCACTGTAGAAAAACCATGTCTCAAAAAGAGTACCTTTACAAAATGTTTTCTGTTCCTCAATTTCATTAGTTTCTGAAATACTAAAGGAATCTTTTTACATATAATCTGATTATCTTTTAATCTATGAGATTTCTGATAACTACTTTTCAGCTTTGTTGGACATGTTATTTTTTAGTCTTTTATAATTTTAGTTCTGAAATATCTTGTTTCCTAGAGAGAAAAGTGAATCATGGTCTTAAAAGTTAGAAGAATGTAAAATTAATTGGGTCTTATTAACATGTGTTTCACAGTAGAAACTCTGGTGGTCTGACTCTGTGGTGTGGGTGGGACGGGGTCTTAAGTGACAAAAATACTAAAAAACAAAACAAAAACAAATCCCCTGAAAGGTGGAAATGAAAAAGCTTTCATCTATAATGGGAAAGTGAGAAGATGATCTTGTCTCTTTCAGACCAAAAAAGGCCTGCTTGACTTAAATGTAGATTGTTACGTATTGTAGAATTCATTTAATGACACATAATAATTCAGGTAAGATTAGTTCTATTACATATGAATGTTTTAGAATTATTTTTAAACAGTTACATACAAAGATTCATTTCAGAATGGTCATTCAAAAGCCTTTGTTCCCATTCTTGATGTCAACTTAATGTAAAAAATAATCACCCAGGACAAGGCATTTTTGTTAAAGGTAAATTCAGCATAAAATCCCAAACCTCTTCAATGTAGCTATAATTTCAGTTTTCCTCAAGAAGTAAAATGCAGACCTCTCATAACTTTCATGTGGTGAACATATTTGCTGCCTTTCAGATTTTATTGTCTTAAAATATGAACAATTTTGCTTACCTTTCCACAAAAATGCCAGCTTGAACAGCATGCACAATGCTTCGAAATTTTGGTTTTTCCTCAGGTTTCTTTTTCATCATCCCCATTTTCCGTGTAAAGGTGGGAAGCCAACCAGTCCCGGACTTCTGATGGGACTGAGTCGGTCTGAATGTCGCTGAGTTCATCTTCAGTGTCCAGCAGTCTTCTACAAGCATGTGTACAAATTAAGCATTGGAAAAGGTGAAGAAAAACTAGCAATAAGAAAACAAGCATTGCAATGCATTTTAAAAATAGCATGTCACTCTAATTATTCTTAATATGAACTATTTGAAAAGTTCTTATTTTTTCAAATTTATTTCCTTCTGAAGGCAAGAACCAATACACAGGAGCACCCACAGCTTCCCAAATAGTGAAGTACCAAGAGGCATTAATGGTTAATTTCATTAATATACCATTCTAATAATGATTAAAACTAAGAAAAGATGGAGAAGATAATTCTGCTATTAAAGGAAGCAACTAGCGTGGAAAGGAAAAAGGGGGTGGAAGCTATCATCATTGTCTTACATTTAACAATCTTCTTAATATAGATAATACATGTTATTTGAATAGGCTTTGATGCCATCCACAGGCACTATTTCACTATTCTTCAAATTTTTAAGAAAATAATGACTTAAGTACTCTAAAGGAGTCTTTCCGATATCAACATCACAGATTTTAAAAAGTAAAAAAAATGTAAACAAAGGAAAATAAATGGATTATAATTGTCCTTTAGAATCCACGGAGAAGTGATTCTAGGACAACCCTCCACCATGACACCCAAATCCTAGCATGCTCAAGTCTCTTATAAAAAATGCAACATTTGCATATGACTTACAAATGTCCTCCTGTATACTTTAAATCATCTCTACATTACTTATAACACCTAACGCAATCTACATTCCACGTAAATAGCTACTATACTGTGCTGTTTGGGGAGTGATGAGCAGAAAGTCTGCACATGTTCAGTACAGACACAAGGTTGTTTTTTAAAAATATTTTTGATGAGTGGTTGGTAAAAATCCATGGATATAGAACTCACAAATACAGACAGCCAACTGGATTTTGAAAGCTCATTTCAGGAGACTGAGACAGTCTAGGTGGAAGAAACACTTCCAGTTAGGAGCCTGTGTGGGGAGGTGGAGGCAGGAGATCACAGTCTATACAAAGGTAGTAAGATCCCATCTCAAAAACAAAAATACAAACAAAAGTGCAGAGTTTGTTGTTCAAGTGCTCAGCATGTGGAGAACCCTTGGTTCAATCCTCAATATTAAGAAAAAAAAGCAAAAAACAAATGAAAGAAAAGGATGGGCTTACAGCTGCTGGCCAATGCCAGGTATGGTGGTGCTGCCTGTAATCCCTTTTCTAAAGAGGTAGAGGCAGGAGGATCACAAGACTTAGGGTAGCCTGGGCTACATAGCAAGACCCTGTCTCAAAAGAAAAACAACAAAAAAAAGCCAACCAACACTGCTGGCAAAAATTCAACTGAGTTCCTGAAGTAGTAAGCAGGGACTTGAAATCTCTGCCTAGTCTCTCCTGAATAAATTCTAGGTAGATCAAGTTGACCATTCCGATGTTGTACAACTTGATCTACCTGACCAATGAATAGGGAACCAAGGAAGCCTCCTTATTTTAAGACCTGTCAGCCTCAAAATTCAAGGACTTACTGAAGGCCCGAAGTAGCTAAAATGAGTGAAAGACTCCCCACAGAATACAAAGATAGCTCTACAGAGTACCCAAGCTTTGCCGTCAGGAAGAACTCAGGCCGGCTCTGCCTGTCATGTGACTTGGTTACTTCCTTATCACAACAGGGATTAATAACTCAGGGCTCTTTTGGCACACCTTTAGCTTTGACTTTTGGGCTCCATTCATTTTTGGTAACTCTCTTTACACAGAATGAGGCCTAAAAGTTATGAGCTGATACAGGGAAGGTAACCAGTTGACAGTGTATGCTAAAGAAAGCTCAGGGACAATGTCCTATTACCCCAGAAAGGCAGCAACACATAAAGGGCAAAAACGATGAGGCCTGTCTCATGCACTAGTGTGGACCAAAGAGAGGCTCAAAAGATAATCCATGCGAGAACCACTCTTCCTGTCTCCTTAAGTGCCTTTTACTTGCTCTTGCTTTCCATATAAATCAGAAGTATGTCACTACTTATTTTCCATTTTATTAAATGACACTAATGCATTTGTGAAATACCTTTAGAACAAATAAACACAGTTTAAGTTCTGGAGTTACAAAACTACATGTACACAGGAAGATCAAAAAGACATATAGTCAAATATTAATGCTGATTCATACTCACTTTATGCTATTTTTAACTTTCTTTTGTTTCTTACATTTGGATGATTTTGATTTACCCTTAAAACACTGGGGCATTGTAATTCAAAGCAAAAATCTTTTTTTGCCTTTTTGCCCATTTAGGACTAGATTTCTTAGCTCATATTTTCAAGATACTATGCTACATGACTTCACAATTGCATCACTTTAGGATTCTGCCAGTTCTATTCTCTTTTATGCAGCGATCAAATAAAACCAGACAAGCACACAGGAATCATTGTGGTGTAACATGGTGATGTCACTAGGTTCCAATTATTCCAAGCCACCTTGTGTGATCAGCTGATCTCAGTATACTGACAAACATACAGTAATGGTCACCAACTTCTCCTTCGCCAACGTATGTTGATGACTTTAAGGCTATATATCTTAATGTCAGAAATGATCCAAGATAGATCATCAAATATGACAAGATCAGGGTTGAAAGTCATCAGGATGCATTCGCTACTCAGGAATCTGGCAATTCTTAGTCACAACGTCTGAGCTTATTTGTTGAGAATGAGAGAACATATAACTTCAGGGGGAAAGACTGATCTGGATTAATTAGTAGTTATAGAAATAAAAGGAGTGTGTAAAGAGAAAAGTCTGGAATAAGCTATTGTCTGACTAAGAAAAGCTGACCTGGAAAAGGCAACAAACACTTCTATAATGGTTAACTTGATTGATCAACATAGACAGGCTATGATGCCCAGTTGCTTGTTCAAACACCAGTCTAGGTATTTCTACAAAGATATCTTTTTACACATGATTAACATTTAAATCAGAAGATTTACCCTCCAAAACGTGGAAAGGGTCCAGTCCAATTAGTTGAAGGCCTTAAGAAAAAAGATAGTGATCCTCTGAAGATGCAGGGATTTGGTCTCCAGACTGCCTTAGGAGACTGCCTTAGGAGTCAAGACTACTACTGCTGGAATTTCCAGTTTTCTGACCTGCTTTGCTAGTCTCAAACCCCAATAATTCTTAAATCTGTCTCTGTTCCTCTTCCCCTTCTCTCTCACCATCATTCATGAATACTGTGTGATTTCTTTTCTAAAGCCTTAACTGATAATGAGTATTATATATCATTTTTCTTATAACATTATGTCCTTTTAACAGAAGGGTCAAAGTCTTAATGGCATTTTATTAACAGTTTTACAGGTTATGATTACTTTTTGTTTTTTATTTTGGGTCTCTTTTTCAAGAAAACAGATAAAGCCTTTAAAGGATCTCTTTAGTAATGTCTTTGCCCTTTTCCTGTGTGTTGACCTCATCTTTACAATTAAAGTATTTTACCTACCAAATGCTTTACTATGTGTTCAATAATTTCTTCTAATTTTGTCACTTTCAGTGTGGCTTTCTCCACTGGGGACTCTTGTTTTCCTCCTACACTCACTTACTGGGTTGTTTGCCCACTTTTTGCCTCCTTGGATTGCAAATATTACTTCTTGAACCTTTCTGTCTTTGTACCAAATTTATTAACTTTTCCCCACATTTACATATGTACTTACAATGTATCTTAATTAGATTCTCCCCCTCCATACTTCTGCTTCATTCTATCTCCCCTTTTCTTAGTAAATTTCAACAAGTTTCATTGTTGTTCTATCATTGTATATTGTCCATATATTTGTATATGGTATCTGTGTTAGTCCCTTAGTCAATCAGTTAGTTAGTTAGTTAGCTAGTTAGTTAGTTAGCCAGTTAGTATGCTTTTAGCATGCAATTGTTCATCTTTGGGTGAGGTTATTTCTTACCTAAACAGAAGCTTAAAGGGAAGCCTTATCTTCATGCAGTAGACGAGATGGAAACCAGTCAGAATGTGAATATGTAAGAATGGGTCTGAATTTCTTCTCTCTTCAGCTGACAAAAATGGGCAGCTATAGGTCTGTTTCTCCAAGATTCTTTTCTGCTCCGCAGCATGGTTGCAAACTAGCCTATAAGTATCTTCACCCATCTATGCATCTATGTCTGCTACTCCATCCTATGTCATGGTGAGCTCTTCACAGCCAGTCAATATATTTTGACCTTTATATTCTAGATAAGGAGCTTCTGTCTTTGTCTATTATTATGAGTATCCCATTCTTGAAAGCTCTGTGCTCTGCCCTCCTTGCCAGAGAATCATAATATTGGGCACTTCTTCATTCAAAAAAAATTAGGCCAGGCACAGTAGCTTACACTTATAAATCTGAACTACTCACCCCCATTCCAGCCAATGACTGGGTGCAGTGCTAAACACCTGTCTTCCTAGCTACTCAAAGAAGCATAAATAGGAGGATTGCAATTCAGGCTGTCCTTGGCATAGAAAAAGACGTTATCTCAAAAATAACCAAAATAAAAAGGGCTGGTGGCATGGACCAAGTGGTAGAGAACCAGCCTAGTAAGCACAAGGTCCTGAGTTCAACCCCCATACCTCCAAAAAAAAAGACTTTATTAATTTTTATCAGTCATATATTAATCTTAATCGTTCAATAATTCTATAGATGCATACAGTACACTTTGAACAAATTCACCCCTTTTATTACTATATTCCCTTAACTCCCTCCTCTTTCCCTTTTTCAAACAGTATTTGGTGGCTTTCATTATGCTCTTCTTTTATGTATATGCATCAAAACATACTTTGATCCTCTTCACCACCCTACTATATTTCCTCTTCCCCCTTCCACTGATCCCTGCTCAGACAGTCCCCCTCAAACTCTTATGTCCCATTGTTATCATTGTCATCATTTATGTCTAGATAGGTTCTATTTTTTAGGTTTACAGAATGGTTGAATGAATAGTGTGGAGAGTTCTCACACATGACATCTCTACCCCACCTCCACATGCCCCCTCTTATTGACCTCTTATGTTTCTGTGCT